CTCAGGTAGGTGTGTTGGTGTGTGTGTGTGTAGTGGTAGAGAATTTAAAAATAAACCCCTAATTAGTCTTTAACCAATAAATAAACATTGAATGTGTTTAATTGAATAGTAAGGGGTAACGTTAGTGGCAGGTTGTGTGTGAGAGAGAATAAATAAGACAGCCCAATATTTAAAAAAATTGTTATTCTTTTCCCCCGCATATTTCGCAATTTTCCACATATTTCGCAACTTCCCGCAATTTCACCGCATAAAATCACATAAAAACCCTGCATGTTTAATCGCATAATCAAGGATTTTAGCCCGCATAATCAAGGAATTTAGCCCGCATAATCAAGGATTTTTGCCCGCGCAAAATCTGGAGGGTCTAGTATATCAACTATGTGTGTAAATGTAAAAATAACACCAGAATGGAACCCAGAATTTCCCCCTGAATTGAATTAATAAAGTATGTATTCTTCTTCTTATCCACTTGATATTACTCAACAATGACATAGTTATTCTCAAACTGTAGCCCACTATTCCATGTCTTGACTCAACTGTAAAGTAAAGTGCTACACATTCTCATCATGAGTTTAGATAAGTTACACTGAACACAGATGAGACTGTCTCTGTGTCAATCTCTTTCCTTTGTGTATATAATGTGTTCTTCTGAGCACATACCTGTTAAGGCGTAAGGAAGTTTATAATAATGCTTACACATGAATGTTTGACATATTAATTACAATTTTATAAAATTACCCAAAATAAATGAGAGCTGCAATACATAGGTGTTTCAATTTTCTTTTTTAAATAAATACACATTTTGTATATATAATAAATCCACTTAAATATATAAAAGTATTAATTTTAGAAACATTATTTAAAAGTAAAACCTAATTTAACTATATTGCCTTAGTTATTCATTTAGATTTACCTTATTAATATATATTCGGTATGTTATGTCATTAATTTATTTCAGTACATGTGTTATAGGCGTATTTATTTATGTGTTATTGACGCTATTTTGACTGGTTATCTATACGTGTATAATGACCTGTGTGATATTCTGGTATTGTACAGTAAGTCAGACAATATGGGAATATTTATTTGTCTCAGTGAAACAAACAACACAATATAAACAACATTAAATAAAATGATAAATGATGGAGATGGAAAACATCCTGTACAACAGCATGATTTAAAAAGTTGTTTTCAAATAATACGTTTGTGTAGTTTCCAAGCAGCTGTTTTTGCCCTCAGTCGGTGCTGTAATGTCTAAAGACTTCTGGCTTTCCTCCTGCTGCATCATGTTCTTCTGATCACACCATGGAAGGGCTGCTGGAGAAATACTGACACAAACATGAGAGTTCATTAAGACTGTTAAAGTCCTGTATATTCCTGAGGTATTTCAAATAAAAAACATGTAAAAGCCTTTTTGGTTGAATCTATTAGGCAAATAGCAAAACGTACTGCACTTAGGAAGGGGATGTTCACAGCTGACAGCAGGAATCCCAGTGCCATAGGGAAGAAGGACCTACAGAGGGAAACAAAAGAGTGGTCTCTGTGTTCACCTCTTGCCAAGGTGCATCATTCAACATTTCCAAGAAAAACAAACGTAATACAGAAATCAATCCATCAAATTGAGATAGACTAAGCATAAACAGCACACACCAAAATATTTGCATTGATTTCAAATACACACATTTTGTTGTTTATTACAATGTCATTATTACATTAGTATTACAACAATTTCCCAAATTGGGATCAATAAAGTTCTATCTTATCTTCTCTTAATATTATTATTATGTTAGGGGAAAAACAATTATTGGGCTCCCTTGTTTTTCTGTCTTACCTAAATAAAAGCACAAAGCCATAACTCTCCACCAGCATTCCAAAGATTGCCCAACGGCACAGCACCAGAGTCACACCTCCAAGGAAGAAGAAAGAACCCCGAAACTTCTGTCTTTGGAAGAAGAAGTGGGTTGTCCTCCTGAAGCCGATGATGAGAGCCAAGCCACTCAGAAAAAGAATCTACAGGGAGTCATTAAACCAAAACAAGGGAAATATTTAACACATATACTGTATATATATATATTGCTATTTGTGTTCTTTGATGGATCCACACAGTCCTGTTTCAATATATGGTCCCTGGTTTATTTTACAAAAAACAGACCTGGGGCTGTATTCACAAAGCATTTTATCTTACCGCTAGAAGTGCTCCTAACTCGCGCTAAAACATTTTACGTAGGAGTTTTTTCTTAAAAGTTATTCACAAACCCGCTGAGACCTACTCATACTAAGGATAAATCACTAAGAGTGAACTAAGAGTGACGCGCCGTTGCTATGGATTACGTCGATTCTCGTGCATGAGTTTAGAAGCGGTCAGTACGGTGATTGGTTGTTCAGAGCAGGCCGTCTCTGTGAAACTCATCCGCAACATCCCACAAACGAGCCCACTAAATCACCGAAAAACAAGGAAATAGCCTAGGCTAGAAATGTATTCCTATCAAATAGTTATGGACAGTGCAGTTAGCAGAATACACGCATGATGACAAGTTTGTGCAGACCACGATAATGACGTTGTATATGCACGTTAAAGAGAGAGAGCAAAAAATAAAAATACGTAAATTGCATTAAATCAAGGAGGCAATTAAAAGCACCCCGCAAACTATTATCCAATGAGCATATTTCCAGCACTTAAACACTTTCAATAACAGCCCATACCGCCGTTCAAGTCCCCCTATCATGATGAATGAAAGTGTCGTCGGCATTGCAAAGTTGCATTTTCCCTGTTGCTAAATATCGTAGTGTTGCCAAACATTTAATTTTTCCGGACTAATCGGGTTATTCCTGTTAGTCGGGGATGTTATTGCATCCCACACTAATTCCACAACAAGTTTGATACCCTCAAGATTCAGCCTATATCTCTTGATCAATTCACAGTCTTCCATTTTCTCCAAAACATTTAGTCTCGCAGCCATTTTTAGATTCTTTGTGAATAGGTCTTACTGAGTTAGGAGTCCTCTCGAGGACTTTTAAGCTCTCCTAAACTTAGGTGCTACTTTTAGTCCTAAAATACTTTGTGAATTGCTCTTAGTGAATAAAATTAGGAGTCCTAAATTTAAGACTGACACGCCCATTATGTTTAGGAGTTTCTCCTAAATTCGCCAGTTAGGAGCTACTTTTAGCCCTAAGATCCTTTGTGAATACGGCCCCTGGTCTATTTCACCGAAAATATACCAGGGTGTATTTTAGAGAAAGTAGAACAGGGGCAGGTTGGCAGTGGAATAGCCTCAGGTTCAAGCTCCGGGGCTTCTGAGTCCGGCAGGTCCTGCCCGATGGCCGGGGGTTTGAGGGAATGATGACACAACAAACTGAAAATCGTAACATCCCATCTAGTGCTAAGGAGTGCATCCCAGTCACATGCCATACGTGCTCCAGCAACACAAAGAAGATCAAAAGAGCCAAAAAGGCATCAACGACGAAAAAATGAAGCAAAGTTATGAGAGCTTCTGTCCGCTGCATCTACATGTGCATCCTACTTCTGTTCTGGCCATACTTTGCATTTTCCATCAAAGGCGTCCCTCCATCACTGTAACTGTTCAGAAACTCGATGTCTGAGGAATGACAATTCTCTGCTTTCTGAGTAGCCACCCGTTACCGAAACTCAGCTCTGCTCTACTGCTGTAATACTGTTCACATTTACATCCAGGCCAGCCCTTGCACACATGATTAATGAGTCTGTAGGCCTGACACACAGCGTGTCAACAGTAACCTGCTTGGAACTAATGTCACGGGTAGTGATTCAGTGATCGAACTATGCTAACCCGGTATGTAGATGAGGTCCTAAATCATATTTGTGTAGCTTCATCTGTATTTTAAATTAAATTATCTGATGATGGCTTGTGGTCAGTCTCTGCCACGAACGTTGGAAGACCTAAGATAAAGGTCGCAAGTTTATTTAATTAATTTCCTCAATTTTTCTCCATTTACTGTGAGGTTTCTTTGGTTTTGTCCGTCCACTTAGATGCACATTGGTCACAACTCTTTCTAATGTTTAGCCTGACACTTTCTGTTTGATTTTTGTGAACCAAATCCATTTTGGAAAGTATTTAATCAATCATTTTTTTAAGAAGAATTTTGAGGGAACTTTAGAACAGTAGTTAAATAGAGTATAATTGTCATGTTATACTTACTTAAATGTTTATTTACAGATTAAAGCTGCACTAATCCATTTTTAAGATGAATGATTGATTCAAAGTGTGATAAACTAGGTCAACGATTGTCTTATCTCTGATTGTTAACATGAGTCAGTGTTGGTGTGAGGTGTGATATGCAGGGAAGCCGTAACGGCCCGTCTACACAGCAGCGTTAAAAAAAACTTCCAACGCTTCCAACGCTTCTCTGCCCATTGACTTTGAATGGGGTGACGTCACTTTGCCTCGCTTTTCGCCGAACTGCATTGCTGGGAAGCAAAGCGAAGATTTCCAGGATTTTCAGGATTCAAAAGTTGAGCAATATTCAACTTTTGAAGCTGAGGTGGAAGCGTCAGCCAATCAAATCCCCTTTATGCAAATCTGACAGTACAAGCGCTAGCCAATCAAACCGCGTGCAAGCTGGGAGAGCCAGACCGCAGTTCATTTTCTATATTCCTGAAAATGGAGGAGAAATTAGTTATTGCGGTAGCAAATCACCCGGTTTTTTCTGACCAGTCGCTAATAACTTACCGGGATACAAACCGGAGGAACCAGGCATGGAGGGAGGTGGCAAAGACAGTGGGTGAAACTGGTAGGTTTTCGCCTGTTTGGGGATTTTATATCCAGTTTACTTCGTTTTAACATTGCTATTGCTTTGTATGTCTGGGGCGGGAGATTCATGTGATTGGTTGTTGGTCGCGTTGCTCGCAAAAAATCCCCAAGCTTTCAGACACGCCCAGCTCCAAGTTTTTTCAAGATTTTTTTAAAGCTGCTGTGTGGACGGGTTTAAAAAAGCCAACAAACTGGTGGCCTCAAAGTTTTTGTCATTTCTTCTGTATTATTGCTCTAATATATATGCGCCATGACGACTTATAAATGTTGAGGGGTTTTTGGTGGATCTCGCCTGCCAAACACGAGGCAATTCAATGTTCATATTTTCAATTACCCTTCCCTGGAAGTTTGTAGTAAAACATGTATTGCATTAAAGGTTAAACAGTATTTATTTT